TGCTCGAGCTGTCTATCTCTCACCAGGTATTTATGTGTCTCCCTCTCTCACAACACTAAAACGCTCTGTCTTTTCTCTCACTACTCGAGCTGTCTATCTCTCACCAGGTATTTATGTGTCTCCCTCTCTCACTACACTAAAATGCTCTGTCTTTTCTCTCACTGCTCGAGCTGTCTATCTCTCACCAGGTATTTATGTGTCTCCCTCTCTCACTAATCTAAAATGCTCTGTCTTTTCTCTCACTACTCGAGCTGTCTATCTCTCTCCAGGTATTTATGTGTCTCCCTCTCTCACTAATCTAAAATGCTCTGTCTTTTCTCTCACTACTCGAGCTGTCTATCTCTCTCCAGGTATTTATGTGTCTCCCTCTCTCACTAATCTAAAATGCTCTGTCTTTTCTCTCACTACTCGAGCTGTCTATCTCTCTCCAGGTATTTATGTGTCTCCCTCTCTCACTAATCTAAAATGCTCTGTCTTTTCTCTCACTACTCGAGCTGTCTATCTCTCTCCAGGTATTTATGTGTCTCCCTCTCTCACTAATCTAAAAACGCTCTGTCTTTTCTCTCACTACTCGAGCTGTCTATCTCTCTCCAGGTATTTATGTGTCTCCCTCTCTCACTACACTAAAACGCTCTGTCTTTTCTCTCACTACTCGAGCTGTCTATCGATATCTCTCACCAGGTATTTATGTGTCTCCCTCTCTCACTACACTAAAATGCTCTGTCTTTTCTCTCACTACTCGAGCTGTCTATCTCTCACCAGGTATTTATGTGTCTCCCTCTCTCACTAATCTAAAATGCTCTGTCTTTTCTCTCACTACTCGAGCTGTCTATCTCTCTCCAGGTATTTATGTGTCTCCCTCTCTCACTAATCTAAAATGCTCTGTCTTTTCTCTCACTACTCGAGCTGTCTATCTCTCTCCAGGTATTTATGTGTCTCCCTCTCTCACTAATCTAAAATGCTCTGTCTTTTCTCTCACTGCTCGAGCTGTCTCCATCCTTCTGTTTCTCTCACTTGTTTCTCCATCCTCATCTTCTCTCACTCATTGTGTCTTATCCCGTCTCTCGCCATACATCCGTCCCTCGCCATATACCTTTTTTCACCCCTCAATTATCTCTAAAGCTTCTTTCTAAATCCTCTTTTCTATCCCTTTTTTTCCCCAATTTATTTTCTTTTTACATTTTACCTTACGACAGTCTCTTAATTTTTCCTGGATTTATCCCTTCTTCCTTCATTTCCTAAATTGTATATACATGTACATGCATCCCGGTCTTGTTCCGTTTTCACCCTTTATAAACTTTTCTTTCTATCTTTTTTCATGTTTTTCTTTGTTTTATATTTCTATCATCACTTTCCTTGTATTTTATCCTTCAATCTTTTCCCTCTTCAAAGTGACTCGGTGACAATTTTGAAGGTTTATGGAAAAACTAAGTTTTGTAACCACACAGATATTTATGGTTTTCTTTAAAGGCGTCGCCTAGCGATACTCTCCAACAGTAAATTCTCCCAACAAATTGAATTTTCCCAACCGTTTTACGTGAAAATAAGAAATAAATAGTTGGGAGAATTCAGAAATCGATCAGCTAAGTTTTTTCTATTTGTTATCATTAATAATGGTCTGTTTTCACTCAAACTTTCGTACATCTAGCATTGAAGTCACTACCTCAGCACCACTTCCTCTAATCTGAACAATATTCTTGATTCTCTCTGTATTTTCTCAATCTACCTTATGTTCTAATGTTTCATCCATCATTCATCTTATGTTTCTACATTAAATTTCCAACTACATGCACAGTGAAACCCGTCTATAAAGACCACCCAAGGAAGAAGAAAACTAGATGGAATTTTGACTGCGCGCAGTCGAAAATGATGCCTCCGCCATAGAGCAATTTAAACAAGTTTGGAGTTTAAATCTCCAGTGGTTCTTGAGATATCATGATAACAATCTCAATGTATGGAATTTCATAAGTTGACCTCTGTGACCCTTGACCTTTGACCTACGTGCTCCAAAATCTAATCAGATTGTCTTCCTATGGTGATACACACTATCATTAAGTTTGAAGTTTAAATCTCCAGTGGTTCTTGAGATATTATGATATGGTGATACATACTATCATTAAGTTTGAAGTGAAAATTCTCCAGTGGTTCTTGAGATATCGCGATAACGATCTCAATGTATGGAATTTCATAAGTTGACCTCTGTGACCCTTGACCTTTGACCTACGTGCTCCAAAATCTAATCAGATTGTCTTCCTATGGTGATACACACTATCATTAAGTTTGAAGTTTAAATCTCCAGTGGTTCTTGAGATATTATGATAACAATCTCAATGTATGGAATTTCATAAGTTGACCTCTGTGACCCTTGACCTTTGACCTACGTGCTCCAAAATCTAATCAGATCGTCTTCCTATGGTGATACATACTATCCTTAAGTTTGAAGTTTTTACATCTCCAGTGGTTCTTGAGATATCATGATAACAATCTCAATGTATGGAATTTCATAAGTTGACCTCTATGACCCTTGACCTTTGACCTACGTGCTCCAAAATGTAATCAGATTGTTTTCCTATAGTGATACACACTATCACTAAGTTTGAAGTTTAAATCTCCAGTGGTTCTTGAGATATCATGATAACAATCTCAATGTATGGAATTTCATAAGTTGACCTCTGTGACCCTTGACCTTTGACATACGTGCTCCAAAATCTAATCAGATCGTCTTCCTATGGTGATACATACTATCCTTAAGTTTGAAGTTTAAATCTCAAATGGTTCTTGAGATATTGTGATAACGGTCAATCAGGACGGACGTACGGACGGACAACCCGAAAACATGATGCCTCCGGCACCACCTTCGGTGGCGGAGGCATAAAAAGGTCCTTAAAGGCAGGCGGTTTTTTATGTAAAAGTTCCTTTAGTACACGTTTCAATGAGAAATCGTCCTCAAGGGAAACAACAAATTTGGTACTTCTATACAGGTGGTCACTAAAGCAGGTCTGATTGTATCTCATATTTACATCTTCTTTCATCTTTTCTGCTATCACTTCTCTCACTTATCCTGTGCCTCGTGCCTTCTACTCATCTCATCATTATCTCTTCTTTCTCCTTCCCTTTCCAACAACAAAAGGAACAAAGACAGCTTTACTGTAGAGAAAAATCAGACAATTCTGTACATTTGACTTTTATTCAGGAAATACAAATAGATTCCAGGGAAAAAAATAAGAAATAAAAACATTTGACTTTTATTCAGGAAATACAAATAGATTCCAGGGAAAAAAATTAAGAAATAAAAATAAAACATATCAAACTGTTGCAAAGTATGCCATCATTGTGACATTTAATGTGCAGCAATTACCTAAATACTTTGAATTACATGTTAGAGAATCCATGTCACAATACTATATTAAAAATATCAATTTCAAATATCACTTTTGTGGGGGATTTTACAAGTTTATATACATTCTCAACTCAATTAACATAAAAGTGAATTGTGATTTGACTACTTGATGCAACTGTGAGCGCTTGCATAAAACAGGGCCCGGAAAAAAACCTAAGTATGACTTAAATTCCGTGAGCATTATTTCACGTTATTCTTTATTTTCTTCATACTCCGTATCAGTTAGCCCATATGAGGCTTGGTGATTTTTTTTTTTGGTTGCTTGCACACATTCTAGCTGAACATTTTTGTTAAAGGTACACTTTCACATTGGATCCCATGTTAACAACAACAAATCAGTGTACACATGTGAGAAATGTACACTCCCATTTTTTGAAATTCTATCCATTATTGTTTAAAACATTTACCCCCTATGAAAATAACTCATACTAGTATACTTCTGTTCAATCTCCATGATATTTAAAAGAGGTGCAATTAAGCTACCAGTACTAATATTCCTTGAAAGGTAGCGTTAACTGGATGTATATACACTAATTATAGATGCCAACTTTTCCCCCAAATTTGAAAATCTATGCATGTGTATTGAAGGGAAAAAAAAATACACACATATGGATGAAGTTACTGTAAATGCATATGGAATCTCTGATAGTCATCACCATGTAGAAAAAAAAGGTTATACTAAAATAAGCATTGACAATTAAAAGACCTAAAAACAAGACAAAATGAAGGTACATATATACAATAATATCCTAGCAGGAGCATTGTTACAAACATAAAACTGTAGCTTACAGCACAGCATTTTTGAGTGAGGAGATTCTTTCGGTGAAAGAGCTTAAACATTCTAGACAAGCTTTTGCAAATAATTCCAATGTTTACACTTACCAATTTGTACATGTAACTACCATAACCCAAAGTCAGAAGTCTTTTCTACAATGGTGTACCTGTACGTTATGCACGGCCCTACAGATGTGATTGATGATGAAAACAAAATTTTAAAAATATGATCCGTAGTTTGTCGCTAATTTAAATGTTCTCATTCAGACAATTCATTCTTTCATTTTTTAAAATTGTGATCATTCTCTACTCTTCCCAACTACAATTTAGAAAATGCTTAAAAAGCGCCCTCATCGTCTTCTTGCTTGGAGAGACCGTTAGTTTGGTCCTCATCCTGTACCTCATCTTCAGGTTCCATCCCTCGGAATTCCTTGAGCTTAGCATCAAATTCTTCAGCCCCATAATCCTCCTCCCGTTTTACATCTCTGTACCGATTCTCTTCATCTCCGTACCCATCTCCCGCCTCACCCTCCTCTTTCTCCCGGTTATACCCTCCCCTTCTTGCTCCCCCCTCTCATCCCCATACTCACCCTTCCTCATACCTTCACCCTCAAACTGCCCCTTCCTGTTTTCATCTCGCCCCTCATCCCTGTCCCTGCTTCCCTCTTCCCTGTCCCTGCTCCCTTCATCCCTGCTTCCCTCCTCCTGGGATCGGTCTCGGTCTCGGTCCCGGTCCCGTCTTCTTTCTCCTCGGTCGCGATCCCTGTCCCTATCCTTATTATCCCGCTCCCCCCTTTCTCGATCCCTGTCTCGCGGCTCTCGCCTGCCGCGATCACGATCCCGCTCGCCCCGCTCACTGCGGTCTCTGTCACGTCGTCCACCACGGTCACGCTCGCGGTCCCTGTCGCGATCCCGTTCAGGATCCTTCTCTCGCTCTTCATTTTCACCTCTCCTCCTGCGCTCGCGGTCTCCTCTTTCTCCTCTTTCTCCTCTGTCTCGTCGTTCCCTCGTTCCCCACGATCACCTCGGTCACCACGATCACCTCGATCCCCACGATCGCCGCGATCCCCTCTGTCACGTCTCCTCTCGCGATCTCTATCTCTTCACGGTCACGTTCTGGTTCGTCTCTTTCACGGCGATCACTTTCTTCGTCCTCCCGTTCCCGTTCACGTTCTCTTTCCCTGAATGAAACAAGAAAAGATTAACATGAAAAAACTGCTGTCATCTAGTAACTCATATGCTATGCAAATAATCTGCCTGTGCCACATTGTTTTCATGTTAAGAGATACCAAAGGCATCCAGTGCAAAATCTATATCAGTGTTAAATGGCTTGTCATAGAGCTAACACGATGCGAAATGATAAATTGCAGAGCCATCGTGTTGCAAAGCGCAACGCTTCCACCATTCGGTGACTATTGTTTTGTGCAAAAAAGGAACAAAGCAACCAGTGTAAAGACATGAAGAAAATATTGAATGATGGTATTGTACAACGCTCAAAATACACGGGGACGGTGGGCGATTCGCCCCCGTGAGCTACAAAATCGCCCCCGTCAGGTTGCTCACGGGGGCGATTGCAAAATTAAAAATCGCCCCGGTGGAATTATAAAATAAAGATAATCTTTTCTGTTATAACTTTAACACAATATTGAGTTTCAATTTTCAAACCTTAAACCAATGAAATGGAACTAAGATTAGCGTGCAAGATTTCTCGTTTTATGAGTAGGCCTATTATTACCGATTCAGCTCGCAGTGCAGTGCCGCCGTCAGCGGTGGTTATAGGCCTACTGCGCCGTTAGTAGCGGTGCGTGTGCACGCTGCCGCGCCATGTCTGCTGGAGCTGGAGGCGATCGGGCAAGGGCAGAAACATGGTCATGGCCTGGAGAAGTTTTTCGTTGTCAGCAAATAATGAACCTCGACCAGTAAATCAATATTAGGGACTTTTAGATTTGCACGATGAGAACGTGGACTGCAACGTGTGACCTCCTTTTAAGGCACTGCCAGTGCTTAAAAGGACGTCACATGTGATTGCCAGTGCCTTAAAAGGACGTAACACGCAAATCTAAAAGTCCCTTTTGAGGAGAAGAGGAAGACCAAAATGTCGTGGAATCAGGGGCGGCGATTTCTGTTTATGACCGGGGGGGGGGGGGGGGGGGGGGGACGAAATGCGAATTTTTTTTTTTACGAGGATGTTATTGAGGGGGGGGGGACGTGTCCCCCCCGTCCCCCCCCCCCCCCCCCCCCCCGGGATCGCAACCCCTGCGTGGAATGATAACATGGGCAGATCTACGGCGGGGGGGGGGGGGGGGGGGGGGGGGTAGGGGGTTTAAACCCCTCCTCCCACCCCCACCCCCCGGCCCCCTTGGGCTGCCAAGTGAAAATGTGATATTTAAGCGGGGGGGGGGGGGGGGGGGGGAGGGAGAGGGGGATTCTGGAGAGGACGACTACTAATCTATTTTATTTTTTCAGGGGGCGGGGGGGAAGTGAAGCGCCGTTTTAGCATGACTTTCTTTTTAACTCTTACTTTCACCTATCTCAGATAACCCTAAGTTTTTGGTTGCCGCTTTATATGTAGTTGATAATGCATGATTAAAATAAAGAGAGAGAGAGAACCACCATCATTTTGCAATGGTTCAGGGTTCGTGTAATGTACATTTAAACCATTTCTTAGCGTCTCAATCCTAAAAAAATAGCAAAACTATTTTTGAGGAAAAGCATTATACTGAATTAAATAAAGAATAATAGCTTTATATTGGATCATACTAATACTAATACGGGCTAAAGACAATGTTGAATTTGTATAGAGGTATTCCAAAATGACATTCTGATAATCAACATTTGTTCTGGTATCATATGTATATACGCATAATACAACTGATCTTTATGATTTCTTAACGAGACATAGCTTCTTCTCCCTATGCAAACAAAACAGAAAACAAGGTTAAAAGGACCATGCGACAAATAATCATTGTGATTCAAATTGATGCAAGGATTTTTTTGAATATGCAATGCTTTTCACCAGAATCTTCTTTGTAAAAACGACTTTTACAAATCTCAGCCATGCAATTCTGCCACTGTGCTGTAAGATCACTTTGAGATTAGGAGAAGTGTATTATGTAATGGGTATTTTAAATTGAATGGAACGTCTCAACTCAGTAAGCATGGCTGAGATTTGTAAAAGTTGTTTTTACAAAAATGATTAGGGTGAATAATAGTGCTTATTCAAACAAATATTCGCATCAATTTGAATCACAATCATTATGTGTCGCTTAATCCCTTTTAATGACCATGTTTTCTTTTTCGTTTGCAAGGGGAGAAGAAGATATGTCACGTTAAAGACATCATAAAGATCAGTGTTGTATGCGTATATATTATATACACAGGCCAGTAACAGCTATGTAGCTTGTAAATTTGTAAGAGGGAAAATGCTGATTGAAATGATAATGATGAAATAGCAAATAATTGAGGAGTATCAAAGGTACCAATTCGATGGATATTTGTATAAAAAAGAGCCCCCGTCAGTAATAAAAGAGCCCTCGTGAGAAGGCTCACGGGGGCTCTTTTTTTCGGGGGAAGAGCCCCCGTGGACAAAAAATTAATTTGAGCCCTGGTATTGTATCAAATACATCCAATTCATACAAAACAAACCTGTAGCACCAGTGTAATAAATAACTGGCATTATCTTGTGCAAAGTAAAATCAAAGTTATAACTTTTTTGAGAGAATCAGGTCAGCGAAAGTCTGAGAAAAAACATTTAGAATACAAAATAAAGATTAAAATATAATATTCTAAAAGTGCGATTAATCAAACACAAATTGGCAACTCTGTGACGCATCTACCGAGGTCCCCAATCGTTTGGCCTGTAAGAAAATATTTGTTTTAAGTCCCTTGGGAAATTTTCAATCATACAATTATCCTAAATAACATTATTTATACAAATATGTATGAGGCAAATCTATTTAGTCATCAATAACTAAGAAAATAAAAGTTTATGAAATTTTCTGTACAGAGCAAATTGAAGAGGATATTGAAAGATAAGTCACAGTGTTGCCAATTTGTAATTCACTGATGACAACTTTAACAGATCATAACTTTCCTATTTCTAATTTGATATTGGTCAAGTTTTCACTTATTTGTTTTCCTCATTTTTCTGCTTTTATTAAAATCAATTTAATTGTATACCAGGGTGAACTTTGCTTTTCAGAATCCTGACACATGGGAATTAGCGCTTCATTGCAAGGTGCAATTTACCAGGGGGGGGGGGTGTCACAAAACTTGTTATCGATGACAAATGACAGTTTTTGTTATAAGCTCCTGATATTCTTGCTTCTGATTGGTGATCAGCAGATTTGTCACTGATTTCTGTCATTTGTCATTGAAAAAAAAAGCTTTGAGAAACACCCCCAGGTCTGAATTATTGTTGACAGACCATCAAGAACCACAAAGCTGTAACTCTGAGACTGTATTGTATCTTACCTGTTTCCAGATGGATCATCTCTGCCTGAATGCCTGGAGTTCACGTCTGGTCCTCCTCTACGCGTCCCTCCCAAACCACCACCTAAGCAAAGCAGTCAAGCATACTTGGTTAGCAAAATACTTGCATCTAAATGGCTAGAATAATCCATTTCCCTCTTCAGATTGATAATACACTCGAACCCGCTTTAGTGACCACCTGTCTACAGTATAGAGACCACATTTTTTTGTTTCCCTTGAAAGTGGTTTCTCATTGAAAGATGTACTAAAGGAACCTGTCTACAAAGACCACTTTTTTTGTTTCCCTTGGGCGGTCGCTATAAACAGGTTTTACTGTACTCATATTGACCTTGTAATGTGAAATTCTTCAAACCAAACAGGGCTCAACAGTGTGGCACGAAGGACGCATGGGCATCTAAACTCCCAATACAGATGCCTCCAAAACTAACAATTTTCTTCATTGGCATCATGTGTATCATAGTGTATTACGGACCCTAAAATTTCTAGTTTCGGGCTCAGTAAAACATACAATTGTATCCAAAATGAAAAAGTAATCATCTACTCTGTGGGGAAAATATCTCCATACAGCAAATTCATTGGTGTTTCCTCTTCAAAATCACACTGCTGATTATTGTTCTGACAGAACTATAAAATGTGAATAAAAAGTTAATGTGGAGGAATCTAAAAAAAAAAGCAAATACAAGATCATAACGAATGGGTTACAGGTACTATGTCCCACTTGTAGGCCAAAAAAAATGAAACAGTTAAATTTCAACAACAATTGAAAGACAATACTGATTTACAACTTCCCTCCAACAAAAGGGCTTGAAAATGGATTTTATTTGGAAAAAAGATGTCAGTCAGTCACTCAATAGGGTTTAACAGTAAAGTCTAGAAGGTAAACAAGTTTCCTTGCATAATTTGAATACTAGGACACTGCTAACGTTTAAATTTCACAGATAGGACATACATGACATGTTCATAATTCCAATAAAGTTCTATAGAATTTGATGTTGGCTGCAAAAGGGACATAGTATGTTTAAAGTGCTTACTCACCTAGCCTTCTTGGTGTCCATCCCTTGACAGTCCTAGCCCTCTCCACATCTACCAGAACCCTACGGCTGTCAATCTTCTTACCATCAGCGTACTTATAGGCAGCTGTCAAAGACAATAAAAAATATCAATAATTTCTGCTCTATGATACAGCTATCAAAGCCATACTTACCTGGCTGCAAAGGAAAAACATTGTTTGATCATTTACTCTCGGTTTTGAAATATTTTGGCAGGCACACAAAGGGGGCTTCCAGCAACAAATTACATGTTTCCCAATTTGGTCCAAATATGAACTGAAATGAGAACAAACACTGAACATTAACCCTTGGTTTGTTCTACAAAACTTGTGTCATTTTGCATGATGATTTCAAATTTCTTTTACGGCTTCTACATCCTACTGTACTTGTCCATCCATGCAGTTTATCGGTCAATCTGAACATGGGACCGAGACATGTTGGAATTCCAGATGTCATGTACAATATGTGACCAGGTACCACAAAACAAACAAACAGTCACCATAGTTTAGGTGTGATTTTAAAGGTGGAGTCTCGCAGCTTTGAAACGATATATGACTCATCGGTTGGATGTTCCTAACCCAGTTAAAAAAGAGAAGAATGTCCAGTCTTAGAGGGGAAAAAGTGTTAAGTTTATTCAAGCACTCTGGCTCGCAAATGTTGTGCAAGAGGACAAAAGGAGGATTAGAACTTTATAGAAATTTCTGTGAAGGATTATTAAATTGTCCTCCAACTTGGCAAAACAATGAAGCGCAAGTTGATCTTTACTTTGACCAAGTATCAATGATAGAGCTTACCCTATTATATAACTAGTTATTATAGAGACCAGTAGTCAGGGTCACAAAGAAACTTAATTTTTAACAAATTTAAGATCAGAAAAACACATGTCCACAAAAACTCTCCAAAATATCTCTTTTAGATTTGGTGCTTCCAAATTGTTTTTGCTAATTATCATTACCGGTAGTCTTCTGGGTATCTCACCCACAAACCTTTTACCGAAAAGACAGGAATCTCCCATAGGAGGAATGATTGGAAGTTATAGGGTGCTTTAAATGCTACTAAGTAAACGTGCCATACAGGCTTATAACTCCTCATTCCTTTCTTCTAGCAAAATGAAAGGAAGCCCCCTTATTGTGCAGATAAAAAAGGAATCATTCACAAAAGAACAAATTAATGTCTCATTGTGTTCACTCCACTTCATGAGAGATTTCCTTCTACTTATCTTTTTCCTTTCTTACTTCAGAATTAACTTGGGTTTATTTAAAATCAACTTTTTTTTTATATGTTTTCTTTTTTTCTGAATCAACTAGAATTGCATCACAAATTATGCATTGATTGTACATCATCCTGTGAATGAACAACTTACCAATCTCTTTACTTTTATACTTATCTGATCTTAGCAGATGATTGAGATGGCTAGCTGTCTACGTACGTATGGAGTAGTATTGAGCTGTCATACAGGAACACACTTACTTGTGCATTATTATTATTGCATCCCTGATGACTTACCAATGCACTTTGCTTTAATAAGGGGAATGAATTGGCCTACCGAATGTACGAGGTCATTGCACTTTTAAAGAAACAATTACAGTGCATTTATTCTTGTTTGTATGTGGACACATGACTTACCAATGCACTTTGCTTAGGGGGAATTGGCCTACCGAATGTACAAGGTCATTGCACTTTTGAAGAGACAAACACAGTGCATTTGTTCTTGATTGTATGTGGACACATGACTTACCAATGCCCATGTTTATCTTAAGTGTGGATTACTGGTACTTACTTTTTGCACAGAACCATTAATCTTTCTTCATTTATTCAACACAACCAACAAAAAAAAAGGGGGGGGGGAGTCAACACTATACAGTGTATTTGACATTAACAAAGGGAAACAGGATTTCAATTTCAGCATATTTCATTTCATGAAATTAAGACAAATTTCAAGTTTCAAATTTTAAAGTCAATGCTTTGATAATTTGATAAAAGGGTGGAAAACTTGACATACTCAAATTCTTCATATCATTCAGATTCTTATACACACAAAGAATTAGAATGAAGAAAGCTGAAAGAAAGATCAATATTGGTCAAGAAATCAAATTCTAATTTGATGTGATTTTATAATTGTGTAGCACAAATTCCTATGAGATATTACACATCCAACTTTGGGACAATGTCCTGTGAGTCTGTAACCCCAAAATACAAGCATGTAAGCCATATTAAAATATGAATTCCTTTTCATGAAAGGTGTCTACAAAAAGACCCCCCCCCCCCCAAAAAAAAAGAATATGATTCATAGACAGAAACTCAATGCGAAATGTTCCTAATAGTTACTGTACAAATACATTTCTCCCAACAAATTATACACAATTACTACAACACGTTATCTATACATGATAGAAATGAATAAATACATTCACTACTCCTATTTTCCTGTTGCTATTGAAGTCTTTTGAAGATTCTTTTCCTGTTGCTCATGAGGATTCTCTGGAACATCGGTTTACATCACCCCCTTCAGCAAACCTTGACGACAATAAACAGATGGACGGACAAACAGACATTTCCAAGCATGCTCCCAAGCTATTGATGATCAGACACACACACACTTCAATTCTCTTACATCACCAAGAGAGACAAACAAATCTGTAATGCTGATACCTGTACCACGTAGATTAACTCAATGATATCTAGACTTTGGAGAATGACGTCTGCAGAAAATGCTCTTCCAGGAATACTGCGGCTGACAATGAATGACCTTGTAACCTAGACAACCTGGTCATCTCCATGACCTTTGAACTTTATCACTCTTTCTATCCAATCACCAGATCATTTTCAACTTTGTTATATTCTCAACACATTCTCTACCAATACAACGCAACAACTTTTGGGTATACTTTTCTCAGTAGAAACATTATTCCTAACACACATCCAATCCTATAAATCTTTCAAATTAAAACTGGGAATTGGTCTGCATAAAACATAAATGGGAATGGATGGCACTTGGCAGCTAAGACTTTCTTACACATCAATCTGGTGGTGTCACTTCACATTCAAAGGGGGACAAATTACTGGAGTAAAACAAATGACCCTATATTTGTGGACTTTCAAGACCATTCCCCCCCCCCCAAATATGACCCTTTTTGTACAAAATATGCTCTAAATATAACACAGAAAATATTGTGTTTGTTTGTTTGTTTGTTTGTTTTTTTTTTTTTTGGGGGGGGGGGGGACTTTGCCTTCTATTATTCGGGTTGCAGGCTCCTTCTCTTTTGTGACATTTCTTGCTCTTTGAATTAAAAAGAATGGTCCCCCTTATATCATCTGCAAGCAATTCAAACGGTTGAACATCTCCAAAATTACCTCTATTTCTGTGAAATTTCTACCTATCATGCATACACAAAGTCAACACTTTCACATCACTAAGCAGTACACCTATCAATTCTCACCTTTAATTAACCTTCATCATTCCATCTCTGTTCACATATCACCTTTAGCATCACAGATGTATGACACCTAGCATCATCAACATAAATCTCACATTTCTCAGAAATGGACAGATTTTCTGAAGGTCGAAGGAGTTAAAGGATTATGATATTGACTTCATTAAGATTTCATGTATCCCACCCGTTTTTTTTAATTCTTTCACCCAAAACGGTAAAGCATTTAAGTCCAAAACCAAAATCGATATTCGCAATTTGCAAGGGATAATAATAATTGCATGTAAAGCAGTTAGAAATGTAGTATGAAGCAGTAGACAAATGTGTCTATCATATGTCGGGTAGAATCGGCTTTCACTATAAACATATTGGGAACTATTTTATTTCTAACATTTTGCTAACAGAAAAAAATAAGGGAGTTTGAAATTCCATGTAGAAATACATGTAAGGATGGTTTACCTTTTAGTTTATATTGGCTGCCAAAATAGACTTTTGCTAATTTGTACTGCATTTAACTTTGAGGGATTTGATTGGTCGATTGCGATCACTCTCTCTTTCTCACCACAAGAGGGATTTACAGTCTTACCAACATACAAACCTAATGGTTGACATGTATCTTTAGCCACTAGCCAATCATAATGAAGCATGGCTGAGCGTTAGCCAATGAGCAAGCAGCGCACACGTTCAAATTGCGTGGCTGTGTTGGGAGTGATAAAAAGAGAAAGATTGATAGAGCTAGTCTGATCTATGCATGTCATTTATCATAGTCAAAATATGTTAATTCATACAGAGAACAAAATAACATATTAACCTTCTTACTTAGTCAAAGGAATCAATGTTAGTGGACATCTAACTTGTAACAATATTTGAAATTCTTCAGGAACTTTATAACATGCACGATAAGGTACCCATACCTAACAAAAAGTGAAAAAGAAAAATATAGGGAAATAAGAGATGTATATAGTTACAGTATAACAAAATTATTTAAGCAACATCTTACGAAAACCTAGCTTTCTAAAACATTTTGATCTTACCAACCTTTGTTATCCCTTCACAATATGGAAGAATACATTAATAACACAAGGCCTAATCTTATATTTTTTTTCCTCAACTGGCAATGGTTACAACTATTCAATTCATATCACACATTTGAAGATACCATACTCACCAAACACTCTATGTAATAATACATTCTCATATGTCATCACCTCTTACCAACATTGTTGAACCCATCTCAGCAGTCATATTACAAGAATGAATGAATAAAAGAACACATGGTCTAGATGACACACTTACCAATATTGATAGATAATACATATATATGCTCATGATTTATTCTGTACACTACACAACACAGATTTCATTGTATTACAACAATTGATTATTAAAGATTTTATTTTCTTACAAATTCCTGAGAAATTTGGAGGAAGGATACATTTCTTTTGGTGCACAAAGATAAGTCAACTCTTGTTTGCAGCAGGAGGTACTTTTGATTTCTGTCTGATGTTTCATAAGCAGTCTCACGTTTCCTTCAAAACACAAAATTTGATTGAAAAGGGGGCGAATCAAGCTTTTTTGTGGCTTTTCTCCAACTAATATTTACACCAGGAAGCCAGAACTACACATCAATCAGTCTTACTGCAGTACATATGACTAACTTACAAGTTCCTTTCGACTTGTAAACCTGTACTCGTACACTAGCACATATTCACAATTATCTGTAGAAGAGTTGGAGGGGGAATAAGAAAAGATAATATTCCGGGAATGTGAGTGACAGAAAGGAGTATGTCCCACATGCAAAAAGGGTCATTAGGATTATTGTATACTTACAATGCATATCTCTCTCATGGGCATACTCGATGAAAGCATATCCTTTAGGCTTCCCTGTGTTGATGTCATGGGCAATGCTGATCTGTGAGTTGGGAGAGATGTATGCAAATATGTCATGGTTATGAGTGAGATAGCAACTCTCTCTCTCTCTCTCTCATTCCCCTCTCTCTCTCTTTCTCCATTTTTTTTATCTCCCGCTCTTTCTCTTTCTTCACTATATCTCTCGGTCTCTTATCCTCTCTCTTCCAATTTTTGTCACTTTCCTTCCCTCTCTCTCTACTCCTTACTCTACATCTTTTCCTTCTCTCTTCCTCACTTTGAATTCATATTTTGTTGAGGTACATATTTCCCTTTTACTTCTTGTTCATAGTTTCGCTTTTGTTTTACATTTGGTACAAAATTTAGGATAAACATGTGACATACACAGTACCTGTACTTATAATTATGTAAATGATACTGTTTTAAATTGTACACTTGTTTTTCAAATGCAATGTATATATATCCATGTGCAATTCAGTATATGTAACTGCGATGCATGATTCAATAAATACCATACCATACAATAGTTAATGAGGTAATGGGTACATCTGTTCTATACACTGATGTGTGGTAGGCAAGATAAAAGAATTGCAGTGACATCTTTCGTTTCTGTTCTTTTGTCTTATAATGCAGATGCTTTATGTGATTTCATTTTTTGCACATGTGTGCCTCGAGCATTTGATTTGAAGTAGATTTGGCACCTTACAAATCTCATTAATCATATATATTATTATTCTTATCTGTCACTGAATAATTTAAATTCAATTGTTTTCCCATCTAATGAATGATATTACAAATGGAACGACGTATTACATACCATCAGGTCACGATAGAGAGAACTTTGATTTGCACAAGTTTTGTGCCTTGAAAACCCTTGTCATTTACAATCTACAAAAGTTTCTGGTTTTAAAAGCATCGTTTAACAATGTTAAATCTGAGATGCACTGCCCTACATGTTTATCAGTGTCTGTGATATGGAAGCCCCCCAAAAATGTGCTTCAAAATGATCAAGAAGTGCCTCAAAAAAAGTAAAAAATCATTGAGTGACCGGTTTTACTATACTTGTTTTCCCCAACAGACTGGAGTGTTATGAAAACCGTCAGGAAAACGCAAAATTTGATTTCGATTTCCAATCATAAATATCTTGATAATCAGACAGGCGATCGGCTTGTAAAAGTCATGGGGTTCCTGACTAACCTAAAGGTTTATAATTATCATTGCAGCATGAGCTAAATCCAGGATTTTGTTTCATAATCTGAGACAAACTTACCCAATCCCTTTAAAGCTTATCAACACTTGTGTGGCTAGGAGGGATTAGACCACACAGCGAGGTCACTGACAGGTGGCTATCTCATCAACTCAGCTCTCAAATAACATAAGAAATAGAGGATCATGGGGGACAAACAGGCACCGATCGGGGAAGTTTTCTATATAGAGGGAGCAAGTAGCTACAAGTAGGACAGTGGGGCTTTAAGATCATAGGAAATGGGTAATATGTAGGTACATGTAGATGAACAATTTGAAAAAGAACTTGATAAGAAGGATAAAGGAAATGGACTTGCTTCCTTACCATTTTGATAGGACCATAGGATTCAAACTCTCTTCTCAGCTTAGACTCTGTGGTATCGTAGTTCTGCAGAAAAAAGAAAGGAATGAGTCAAATTAAATACAATGTATACTACACAATACCTTTTACTGTATTACATGCCATGCAGGAACAACTGCATCTTTAAGAAAAGAGAGAGAGAGAGAGAGAGAGAGAGAGAGAGAAAGAAAAGAGATGGAGAGAGAGAGAGAGGAAAGAGATGGAGAGAGAGAGACAGACAGAGAGAGAGAGAGAGAGGAAAGAGATGGAGAGAGAGAGGAAAGAGATGGAGAGAGAGAGACAGAGAGAGAGAGAAAGGAAAGAGATGGAGAGAGGAAAGAGATGGAGAGAGAGACAGAGAGAGAGAGAGAGAGAGAGAGAGGAAAGAGATGGAGAGAGAGAGAGGAAGGAGAGAGAGAGAGAGGAAAGAGATGGAGAGAGAGAGACAGAGAGAGAGAGAGAGAGAGAGAGAGAGAAGAATGTAAAGTGTGTATGATGGGCGGTGTTGTACGGTTGTCGGATAATCAAGATTTGTTCAAATCTTCTTAACTTGTCACATCTGAGTGTGAACTGAAGAGTGTGAAAGGACGATGGTATCTAATGAAGAATGTAAATGTGTCAATTACTTCCCCAGCTTTGTGTAACTGGAAAAGGCCTTGATAAAAAAAACACTTATTTCCACTTACCACACGGGCTATAAAGAGTGTCTTGAAGGCATTGGATGTCGCACTTGCGTTACTATGGGCATCCCCTGTATCAAGAAAGAAGAAAGATAAGAGAAGAGAGAGAGAGAGAGTGAAATAAAAATGTCTATGCTTCATAGTCATACATCCATTATATAATTAGAGCACTGTCAACCATAGTTTGGATGCACTGTTCATCATTACTAAAAAAGGTAAACATGACCTTTTCTGCAAAAAGAGTTTAAAATCACTAATATTGAATATTTATAATTGTTAATACACCTTATGTATGATTAGGCTTTTCGCATATCTTTTTATCGTTTCATTTTGTTTTGCATGAACTCTGTATACATGTACATATATATTTGTCATATTTGTTTGTTTGCTGTTAAATACTTTCCATTTATACATTGCGTCCCCCCAAAAAAGAAACCAAGAATTATCAATGTTTTATCTCAACTTAATCACAATTAAAATCAATAAACGACACATGTTTGTAAAGCTTAGATCCTCTTCTTTCATTTGATACATATTTCATGCATGAGTGATTAAATCAAATTGAAGAGAGGAAACCCAAAAGTCATTTGGCAGGCGGTATCTGAATTTCAAAGAGAAATTCACATTTCTAGAAATTTCAATTTCTGCGCTTTCATATGACACCTTTTTATTTTATTTTGTTGTTTTTCCTAGGACACACTGTAATAATAATAATAATATTATTTAGCTTTTATATAGCGCTTATCACAAGTGTCTCCAAGCGCTTTACAAATATATTATTAGGCTGTCTCCTCATTCATCCAGTAGTATTTCGTGATCTGTTCTAGAACTTTTGCAAAACCTTTTTTTCTTTTATATCAATGAATGAAATACAATTTCAACTCGACTGATATATTCAGTAATTGTCATTGTTTTAGAACTTTTAACTACTCCCATGTGTAAGTGCACCATACATTAAATGCCTCTGATGTAGTACCGGGATGTGGTTCAAAGAGCAAACTCCCATGGACAGAATTGATCAGGGGATGAAATATTAGCTCTCTAAACTCATTTTACTTTCCCTGGGGTTTACTACACACCATAACATGGGCTGTTATGGCATGCGAAAAAACCCAGGTTCAATATAGGACTGAGATAGAATATTATGCTACATGTATTGCTTATCATTGTTGTTTCATTGTTTGTAATTAATTATTTTTATGTATCGGGCATAATTGTTCATTTCTTATTTTGCTCTATCTTGAGTTCCTTCTTTCCTAAGCGCATAGGGACTTTCTTTGTATTAGTGATATGCGCTATACAAGTAACGTTCATTATTATTATTATTATTTGAATTTTTAAAAAAAACTCAAAACGATGTGCATACAAATATAGGTTGTATGCCGTACATGTATAACAAATGGTCTATGATCAACAGGGCAGTCCACAAGGGGTTTTTAACATGTAATAGTGACAGACTTGAATGTTAAAAATAAGTTTGAAAATCAGTGACAAATTAAAATTCAAGTTGACATTCTCAGCCAATTTTATGATTTTTTTAAATCATGAATTATAAAAGTTAAAATTTGGTTGGTGTAGTATACATTTAAAGACAGCGGAGGGATTGAAGCTGAGCAAATGTTTGTAGAACCATTGAATCATTAATTTTAGAAAGAAAACTTGTATACTCGGCATAACTCGTTGAACAAGTCAAATACAGGTTTATTTTTTTACCAAACCATGCAATACCGTATTTTCCGGCGTAAAGGCCGCAGTATTTTCGGGTGAGAAAAAAATCAAAAAGTCGGGGTGCGGCGTATACGCAACAACAACAAAATTCAGCAGTCAAAACATCACGTCCATTTGCATGTATGGGACTATAGGAACGGTAGCATGACTAGACAACGGTACAGGACAATTCTAGAATAACTCCACACAACTTACCGACAAGTTTATGTTGCATAGTTGACATGAAGACGAAAAAACTTATTTTTCTAATAAAATCTGCCGATAGATCTAGATCTAAGTCCATACCATTGCATCGCCAAAAAGTAAACAAAGGGACAGGCCGTTACTTACGGAGCTAGCTGCCGCGCAACGCAACTGCGCAGGTCGAAAAATGCTATTTCGGATTACACCGCACATCGAGGAAGGGGTATTGTAGGATACCAAATCTGCCTACGATACAGTACTAGCTTAAAAGTCGATGAAGATCTGCTAAATTATGATCATTTTTGAGGTTAACTTCTTGTTGATTTATAAGAATATTGATGAATTTGGTATAGTTTGTAAAAAAAAAAGAGTGTTCTACAAGAAAATTACGATCATTTTGTTTGGTCCGTTTTTTTTTTCTCTCTTTTTTTTTTTGTGTTTATTTTTTGTTGTAGTTTTTTTTTTTCCTCTACGAAATGTCAAAGTTGGGGGTGCGGCCTATACGGCGGTGCGGCCTTTACGCCGGCAAATACGGTACTTGGATTATTTACACTTCCCAAATCAAATTTTGTGCGAGTTGAACCATTTTTTGCAGTCACGGCGGATTCAACTCAAGAGGGGAAGTCTACCCTGATATTAAGTTGGTTTTAATAGAAGCAGATACATGAGATGAAAAGGTCAGTGAAAGTTTGAGCAAATTCTGATTAACAATAAGAAAGTTATGAATTTTCCCTTCCCCTTATGCAGACTCTTGCAGAGTTTACTGTAGTTATAAATAGAAGTTTCTTTGAACCCATATATATTTACATTCTTCAACTTCATTCTCGAGCTTTTGCTTGCACATCTCCTCCTTCTCCTTCATCTTGCGAAGACGTTTCTCTTCTCTTGTTTCTCCTCGGGCTGGTGGAGGGGTATCTGCCGGATCCTACATGCACAAGAACACAACAAAGATATACAGGTTTAATCTTATCATGTACAGCAAAATAGAATCATCATACTTTAAATTAAAGCCATACCACAATGGATTCTCATTTGAAAATGTGATACCGGAGTCTCCAGTATCACATTTCCAAAGTTTTGGTTAAATTCTTGATTGCTTTAAAGTGCTTTGTATGAGTAGAAAGAAGTATAACAGACCATCTAAATTCTAACACAGACCATCAATTCAACACCATTTTACAATCATGCTAGACACATTCATTCGGCACTACATGTAGATGGCGCTTTGCGGGCATGCAGAAATCTGAATGGCCTTCTTGCGGTGAATCAGCCTTAAACAGATCAAAGGATTGAGAAAACAAAATGTCAAATGGAGAAATAAACAAGCATTTGAATAGTCATTAGAGATCTACTGAGGTCTTCTTCTTTTTCTTCTTCTAAAATACTCCTCAACGTCCCGTTAGGAACCAATCGAGGAGGATGAGGGGGTGCGCACTGTTGCTTGAGTCTTGGAAAAATTTGGTTGCGGAAAAATTTGGTTGCTTGTAGTGAGGTGAGTTGGTTGGTCTAATTTATTATAGAGTCTAGATCTATTTACATGTAGGTCTAGTTCTATCTTAGACCGAATTTTCCGTCTCTTTCGTTCGTTAGCCTCTTATTGGGGTAGGGTCGGCCGGCTCTCTCTTTAGAGACGGAAACCGTCTATACACATTCCCTTGATAACGCCACGGCCATTTCAGGTCGTAGCGTTTTGCCCCCAAAATCCCCCGAAATGTCATTTTACCTCGTGTATATTCAAATGTAAATTAGGCCTAGGCTATAATACATCGGTTCCACTTACTAACTTGATTGAAATAATCCGTTTAATGGTCCCTTTTAAGGAAATTATGGGTCAAAATCGACATCCATGTTGAAAATCTTGAAAGCCGTGTTAAACTCTCGCTGCCGGAGTCATCTAAATCAATCTCATCCCTTCTAGTCTACGCCGAAGGCAAAATGATTATGAAGGAAAAACTGTGCGCCATCTACACGTTCGTAATGGCGTTATCACAGTTTTTCCTTCATAATCATTTTTGCCTTCGGCGTAGACTAGAAGGGATGAGATTGATTTAGATGACTCCGGCAGCGAGAGTTTAACACGGCTTGCAAGATTTAACATGGATGTCGATTTTGACCCATAATTTCCTTAAAAGGGACCATTAAACGGATTATTTCAATCAAGTTAGTAAGTGGAACCGATGTATTATAGCCTAGGCCTAATTTACATTTGGATATACACGAGGTAAAATGACATTTTGGGGGATTTTGGGGGCAAAACGCTACGACCTGAAATGGCTGTGGCGTTATCAAGGGAATGTGTATAGATCTAGACGGTTTCCGTCTCTAAAGAGAGAGCCGGCCGACCCTACCCCAATAAGAGGCTAACGAACGAAAGAGACGGAAAATTCGGTCTAGTTCTATCTCAAATAGAATTTAGAATTCTCTCACTGACAATTTAAGAACACCTAGAATGATGTTCGCGTTCGTAGTTAGACCTAGAGTCTACTTTACTTTTTTTGTCTTCGTAAAGGCGATGGCCGATGCGTCCTAAAAAAATAAGGATCGCAGTGATTCTTATTTCTGATCCGCGCATTGGCGATGCGAAAAAATGGATTCCGCGATGATGCTCCTTTGCATGCGGGAGGGACGTCGACAGCCCTGAATATATTTATCGGGGTCCAGACAACTCGCCACAAAGACAACCCGCCCCAAGACAACCCGCCACAATACCCTGGACATCCCGCCACAATACCCTGGACAACCCGCCACAATACCCTGGACAACTCGCCACAGCCTTTTCGGACAACTCGCCACACTTTTTCCCATCATGATTTCTAGATCTAAAATGAAATGAAATTGTCATTTTTCATGATTTTCGTGCTTTTATATACACAGTCATTACAAAGAATAAAGAATAAAGTTGATTTCCCTAATTGTAACAATAATATATATTGAAATGAAATTGTCATTTTTCATGATTTTCGTGCTTTTATAAACAGTCATTAAAAAGAATAAAGTTGATTTCCCTTGTAACAATAATATACTTTTGATCTAGAGGTCTATAACAGCTGCATTTTTCTGTCCAAGAATTTTTTTATGGTAGGATACTGGAAGCACTGGCGTACTGATGGGGGGGGGGGGGGGAAGGTAATATTAGAATGTAAAGATACGCCAAAGATACATAGCAGCATATTCCTACCATTAAAAAGTTTCCTGAGACATGAACTTAAAAATCGTAGTCGTAACTCGTAGTCGTAGTACGCCTGGCTTGGGTTCGTCCAAAATAGATTCTTGTTGCAAGCGCAAGGAAAATCATCTTTAGTCTTTAGAACAGCTCTCAAAATACTCACAATTTCCATGTTTCCTGTCATAACTGTGTTTATAAAAGCACGAAAATCATGAAAAATGACAATTTCATCTAAGATGAGGGATTTTAGATCTAGAAATCATGAGGGGAAAAAAGTGTGGCGAGTTGTCCGAAAAGGCTGTGGCGAGTTGTCCAGGGTATTGTGGCGGGTTGTCCAGGGTATTGTGGCGGGATGTCCAGGGTATTGTGGCGGGTTGTCTTGGGGCGGGTTGTCTTTGTGGCGAGTTGTCCGGGATTCTATTTATCTGGTCAGTTTACCTTTTATTTCTTTGGTTGTAGACTAGGCCTATAGGCATAATAGCACCTAAAAAGAATTTTTTTTTACCTTTGCTCCTGATATGGTTCAGACTGATTGTCAGATATGTTTTCAAGTCAATATATTTTTGGTATGAATTTGCCTCATCATGCAAATTCAGCATTCAGTTCACACGCACCATCAATTTCATTCAAACTCCTTCGGCTTCACAACCCTTCATTGATCAATTTCACTCCCCACTTCTGCCAAAGAAAGTTATGAAATATAACTTACATATAAGCTAGTCTATACACTATAACAAATAATGTGCTGCTAATAAAGCTGATTATAGATACCTCAAAGAGTTGTACATAGCTTGATATTCCGCTGTAACCGTCGGTTCTTTTCTCCTCAGGCAGCTTGTCAAGAGGAGGAAGATAGCGAATGGGCTCGCGTGGAGCAAACAGAGCCAACAAATTCGGAGGCAAATACTGCGTCATGTTTCAGTTTCTATGCTTAAAATGGCAGAAATTGAACAGCAATACTCCTCACTCCTAGCATCCCTGAAATGAGCCGTAAACTTTTCAAATTATTTCTCTGTTCTAGAGTTGTAACTTCCGTAGAAATTTCTTAAATGGTGGACGATATGATATAAAGATTTTTCGGCGTCGGTTTTCTTTATTTCACAGCGACGTGCGTTGATCCTGGCCGGAATCACGTAGATTATTGGTATCCGAAAAAGGCCAATTTAACGGTGCCAATTTAATGACGACTTTATGAAACTAGCGATTCATTATAGTGTAAAAGGCATGGAGATTGTCGCCGAATGCGAATCCCACTGGTGCGAAAGAGCATTATTCTAAAAACGTATCCGAAGTATATTCATTTTTTTTTACAGGACAAGTTACGTAGTCTCTCATCCAGGGTCATTATTATATTTTTGTTTCTAAATTTTTCCTTTCTTGTTTGCTTCAGTGTTAGAGTATTTTTCGGATTTGTGTTGACCATCGGTCGAGTGCTGTAATAGTAAACAAATCCTGGCTTCATGCACGGTATCAGGGGCGGGGGGGGGGGGGGGGGGGCGTTGGGCGGTGGGGGGGGGGGGGGTGGAGGCGGGGAACGTTTTTTTTTTGGGGGGGGGGACACGTCTCCCCTCATTTTTTTTTTAAGGGGGATCGTCCCTCCCCCCTCAAAATTTGAAAATGTGCCCCCGAAAAAGGTAGCAAATACTAAAGACTGCAACAAACTTAGGTTCTGGAGGGCCCAAAAGTGCAGCGTGTAGACAAATAAAAATGCAAAAATCTTTTCACTCGGAAGCTACGCTCCCTTGCATAATAACCTTCTAAATGTATAAGTAAATAGGCCTACTGAGCAAAACGAAGTGTGAAAAAAGTTTATTGCTTGTTTTTATACTATAGTTTTGCTAAGAAATGTAATTTTTTAATAAAACCAAAACTTCAAAAATCCGTAAGGGGTAGTCCCTCTCATTCACTATGCTCCCTCGCAATATTGATGGGGGGGGGGGGGGGGAGCTTTGGGGAAGTCCCCCCCTCAAAAAAAATCATTCAAACGTGGTTTATTTCTAATTCGATACCAGTGATTTACAAATGTTGCTGAAATGGCATTTTCCCTGACTTTCCGGGGGCTCTGCCCCCTGGACCTTACGGTCCACTTGCTTCGCTCGGCTTGATCTACCTGATCGTAAATACTTTAGCCAGGACCTGAGTAACATGTAAGAGTGATGGTGATGCGGGTTCTTTTCTGCCCCCCCCCCAAACGTTTTTCCTCATTACGCCACTGCTCCCTCGTCCCTCGCATTTTGCCCCCCCCCCCCCCCCCCGGTCGTGAAAGGAAATCGCCGCCCCTGCACGGTATGCACCATTATCAAATTCGATCTAAACAAAATAATGTCACTGCATCATTCTAAATTCAGTCAGCCTCTTTTGGGCTGCCACGCAAAATAATGTGGAAAACTTTGCGACATTTTAGTCAGGATGTTAAAGCCCGTCTGTACTAGTTTGGCCGGGGGGGGGGGGGGGGGGGGTTAGACCACACAGAGTGGTCACTGACAGGTGGCTATCTCATCAACTCAGCTCTCGATTAACATAACAAAAAGTGGATCATGGGTGACCAACGGGCACCGTTTAGGCGTTGTTTTCTCTCCAGAGGGCCAATTAGCTACAAGTAGTACAGTGGGGATTCTAAAAACAGAAATAGCACGTATTAATATTTGTTCTTCTTCTAATTCCGATATTTACTTCAAGCTTGCTAATATCAACATTATTATTTGTATTCCCGATTTCTTTAGATTTCTTTGGATATATTGTTGTTGATTCTTAATTTTAGAAAACGGTCATTATTCATAAGGGTCATCATTCATATTTAATGACCCCGATTCATAATCGAAAATGAGGGTTGCCATCATAATTATGAGAAGAGGGTCGTACTCGCTATAATACAAAATCGGGTCGAAATTCATAGGCCTAAGGGTCCCTATTCATAATACGAAATAAGGGTCGCTATTCATAATACGAGAAGAGGGTTGCTAGTCATAAAAATCACATAGCAAACAAAATGATAAGAAAGGGAAATGTTGGCTGTGGCGTAGCTCTGGGGGGGGGGGGGGGGCGACACATGGCCCCGAATATTTGTCGCAAACATTATGAAAATTTACTTTCGTGACAAGACGAGATAGTTTACAAGCAAACCACCTCATCAGGCCCATATAAATAAATATGAATGTCTGACATCTGACTGTCCGAGTCGTCATCATAAGCGTAGAAGGCGAGGGGAAATATTTCATAATGTAGATGTGTTTGTTTTATAATGATCTATCTTGTTTAATGACAATTCACGTCAGCCTTACTCCTCGTTTGTTTTGTTCCCTTTATTGTATTTTTTTATTTTGTTTTGGCTATTTAATGTCATTGACTCTTTATATTTTGTGTGTGAACCTGTATGGATGCATACGTGTATTTGAATAATTAATACGTGTATTTTATCTGTTGCTTAGGATTTATCAGGTCTCGAATTAATTAATATTAACTTTCCTGAACCTGCATGCACATTTGTATTTACATTCCGTTTTTTTTTTGTGTTTGTTATGTATTCATCATTATATCCTGCCCCCTTGTTGCTACGAGGAGGGCTAGATATCCCACCCCAATTATAAACAAAAACAAATTCATCACGGCATTTATTTTTATTTATTTTTCGCACTAGACCTTATCAAAACCTTCTGACCCATCACCACAAGGCGTCGCTAGACCTTTTTTCAACGGGACGGAGAGGGGGGGGGGGGGGGGGGTGTAGAGGCCACCGATTATCGACAAAACTAGCCACCAATATTATTACCGACAAATATACTAATGCCAATGTCCCAATATCAACACATTTCACCCTATAAACACGGGGCTAAGAGCTAAATTAACGTGTCAAAGATCTTGAAAGTTGTATTCATGATGTACGAAAATGGATGAATGATTGCTATCTCAAACTAAATGACGATAAAACAGAATTTCTCTTGTTAGGCTCCAGACAACAACTTTCCAAGATTGTTATAACTCATATACGTGTTGGTTCTGTGCACATTGCTCCTTCAGATAAGGCAAGAAATCTTGGTGTCATTTTCGATACAAGCATGTCTCTTGATGCACATATTTCAAAATGTGTGAAAGCTGCCAATTATCATCTTCGTAATCTTCGCGCTATAAGGAAATTTTTAACCCCCCAAACCACTCAACAATTGATTCATGCTTTTGTAACATCTCATCTCGATAACTGTAACTCTCTCCTTTATGGACTTCCTAAATACCAAATTCACAAACTACAAAAGGTTCAAAACGCAGCTGCCCGCCTTGTCACTAAATCTAAACGATCGACCCATACTACTCAAATACTCAAGAAACTTCACTGGCTTCCAATAGAACAGCGTATCAAATATAAAATTCTACTACTCACCTACCGTTCACTAAATGGATCAGTCCCTGAATATATTTTCTCTCTTTTTAATATCTCTTTAAGTTCTCGTGCAGGTATTCGTTCCTCTAATTCAACAAATTTAACACAATTAAGAACAAAGAGGAGTTGGGGAGACAGAGCTTTTACAGCTGCTGCACCCCGGTTATGGAACTCCCTACCCCATTCAATCAAAATGTCAGCCAATCAAAATGTGTTCCAAAAACAATTGAAAACCTATCTAATGTCTGAGTTCCTTAGTTAAGACGTAGTGTATTTCAAAATATGATGTAATTAACGTTGTTGAATTATATTTGATTATGTTAAATTATTTTCGTTCAATGTACTTACCTTGTTAGGCGCCTTGAGTCTCTCTTGGGGTGGATATGTGCGCATTACTTTTTTTTTTCAGTGCGAAAGCTTTGACATTTCATTAAATTGTTAAAGAAAGAAGACGATTCGTTATACCTTTCCCGACTCGTAATCCTATTCTGAATTTAGTTTTCCCCCTCCCACGCGGAGCGCTGAAGCTTTGACATTTCATTAAATTATTAGAGAAAGAAATTCTCAATCGCAGTTCCCGGCCTCTTCCGCTTTGCCTTTTTTTAATTATTAGAGAAAGAAGACGATTCGTTGTAGCGTTCTCGACTCTTAATCCTAGTCTGAATTCAATTCACCCCCCCCCCCTCCTCTCCCGCGCGAAGCGCTGAAGCTTTGACAGTTCATTAAAAGACGATTCGTTGTACAGTTTTCCATTCCTAATCCTTGTCTGAATTCAGTTCCCGGCCTCTTCCGCCTTGCCGTTTTTTTTTATTTATTAGAGAAAGAAGACGATTCGTTGTACCGTTCTTGATTCTTAATCCTAGACTGAATTCAGTTCCCCCCTCCCGCACGAAGCGCTGAAGCTTTGACATTTCATTAAATTATTAGAGAAAGAAGACGATTCGTTGTACCGTTCTCGACTCTTAATCCTAGTCTGCATGAATTCAGTTGCCCCCCTCCTGAGCGAAGCTTTGACATTTCATTAAATTCAACTGGGTTCTTTAATGTACGACTTCGATTCTGGTGTCCTTCCACAGGCTCTAGTCAGCATTTTTAAGAAAAATAGTCAAGTTCATGACCATGCTACACGAAATGCCTCTGCGTTTCACTTACCCCAAGTAAGGACAAAGTTAACTTTTAATACTTTGGTTTTTACTGGACCTAAATTTTGGAACTCTCTAGGCTCTAGCGTTAAGCAATCTGTTAGTCTCTCTTCATTTAAGTGTAAACTTAAGGTTTATCTTCTCGATAAATACTGTGACTCATAGAGTAGTTCATTTTTGTAGTTATTATGGTGCCAAGATATATTATGTATTACTATAAATGTAAATTTTCTTCTTGATATTAATATGTGTCTAACTGAATATTTTCAGATTGTCAACCTCTTATTCCCTCCCCCTGTTGTCTTGTGCCCGTTGTGTGCTGTGCCTATTGTCGATGTCCTGTAGTCTTCTATTATTTCTCATATTTTCTATTTTCTCCCGTCTTGTCTAGTCTCGTCTCTCGTTTTGTTGTTGTTGTTGTGTGTGTGTACACTTCTTGTTTTGTTATACCCCCTTTTCCCTATTGTATTCTTAGGTAGTCACAAATATCTATTCATCATGTTTTATCCGGCTCAGAGGGGACCCTAATAATTACAAGCTCTGCTTTTACCAGGGTCTCCTCGCCTTTCTTTTAGTTAACTTTGTTTTTATCATTGCCATAATTTGTTATTTTGC